GTGTACAGTAGTGTAATAGTGTTTCAAATGGGGTTGCGAGATCCGTTTTAATACATTCAGTGCCTAATTAATATTCATGAATAAATTAGTGAACCTGTATAGAAAGGCCACCTGTCTGTAAAGGCCAAAATTTCAAAGTCCCTTGGGTGGCCGCTATAGACAGGTTTGACTGTAGTCATTTTGACTGACCGGAGTCTATGGTGAGTATGAACTATGTGAATAGGCGTGTTCCCAGAACCCTCTGCCTAAATCAGGTTTATGGTCAGAGCATAGCAAAAAGATATTTTTAAAACCAAATTTAATAACACAATTATAATTATTAATAATGCTATTGGTTGGATGATATGTGTACTCACAGTTGTTCATTTCAATATTCTCTTTTATAAGTTGGATAAACTCAGATTCTGCCTGCAGACCAGCAAAATCAATAACATGGGACATCACCTGAAATAAATTGTAATAATGTGATGAGATGACAAGGAAATCTACACTGGTAGAACTAATATGTGCTAGTGGTTTATATCTACATCAGTGATTATACGATATCAAATGTTATGCACTGTCGATTAATTCAATTAATAAAACTGTTCCACCAGATTACACTGGGTTAGATGCACACTGCTACGATATCTGAACAAAAATATTCCATATTTTCCCACATTTTGAAACATCGTCTAAACAAAACACTAACTAGGATTCTTTCAAGGAGTTCAGACAATTGACACATGGAAAATTACCTGCACCTTTAATGCAGTTTGATTGTGTATATTACAAGTTATATGTAAAATTCTATCATTTTGGAAGCATCAAGAAAAATTTCCCATTTCCTTCTTCTCAAGCATACCTATGTGTGTGCATTCAATTTTCCCAGTATTGTGGATACCAGGTATTATTATAATTAAAACAAGGGCTCTGCATTGTCTCTCAATTACAGCACAATAAGATGGCTTAAATGTCAGTTCATCAATCTCTGTTCCCTAAATAAAATATATTGGCATGATACCACCATAGACCATGGGTACTCAGTTGTATAGAAGTCCAACTCATAGCTTTATTAGCCAATCACATCAAATTCTTCAAGATTATACTCCACATGTACAAAAATAAAGTAGTGAAATTAATGTACCTTTTTTTCAGCATCTACATCAGGTTGTTTGAACTGAGGGGTCAGACCTGGGATGGTTGGTAGAAAAAATGGTGCTGATTTAGCAACCTTTGGTGGCTCTTTTGGTTTATTTCTTTTCTATAACAACAAAATATTAACTATGCGTTAAAAGAATGCAACTGTTGAGTAATGGGGGTTGCTATGTGGTATTTGTGTGAAATAGTATGTAGTTTGATGTAGAAAACAATTTTAAATATGATAAATCATTATTTTCAAATTAACAAAATATTAACTACTGTATGCTTTGAAAGACTGCAACATGCTTGGTTGCTATGTGGCATCTGTGTAGAATAGTATGTAGTTTAACTAATACTAAAACGAATAGTTGTAATATGCGCACATGTAAAAAAACTTGCGAGTATGATTCCTCAAGTAATTGAAATGGCTTTCCTATGGTGAGACTATCACGAATCAAATCAAATGAGAGGGAATAATCATCATTTACAAGCAATTTGCCAGGTTAGTAGAGCAGACAACAACAAAACAGCAGTAAAATTTACTTGAACAATAGACAATCAAATTGTGGAAGATGTATCACCAAACTCAGATGTATGCAATGATTAAGTGAAGGTAAGGGGATGAAGAAAGACAACTTGCACAGTTACACAATTGTTTTCATCTCAATACAGATTAGCTTGCATTGTGTATGTTTCACAGAGTGGCAGTCCCGGGCACACATTTTTAAAGATAGTCTTTGTAATATTTTAAAAATGAATGACAAAGAAACTACTATTGCTGACCTTAATCAACTCCAAATTGGTGAGATTTTTCCACCTGGAATGCGGCAACAACGATAATGTGATCAACTCAGCTGAAATTTGTTGTGGTGATTTGAATTCTTCATCCACATTCACACTGACTGTACTATCACTGATATCGTCATGGTGATCTTAAAAATATACAACATATAATACATTCTAGTTATTAACATATAATCTACAAACTCAAATAAGCGTAATCTTACATAAGGATAACAATAAATTTATATCTGGGCAAGAGATGTTAACAGCAAGTGCAGTGAGCACCATTTTTCCCTGTTTGTTGTTTCCCTTTTACAATGTTTGGGCAGAAGCACCAAAATGTGGTGAGCTTTTGAACTGCTGCTTGCGTTGATCATAGACAAACCTTTTTTTAGAAGGGGGTCTAAAATCTTGAAACTTTCATTGCAGCGGGGTAACATGTTACCATGGCAATCAAGCAAAAAAAAGAGAAGTTCAATGTTACAGAGGCAAATGCAAGAAGTTGGAGAGGCAGAAACAGAAATGATCAGAAGATTATCTCTTTTATTGGTATTTTGAGACAAATAAAAACCGACTTTACCTTCTCCATGATGGGTGCCGGGCAAGAGCAGCTGTGTTGGAATGTAGTCCTCAGGTAATGGGTGGAGTGATACATGGGAAAACAGAGTGCGATTTGACCTGAATTTATTAAGTGGCATTAAAATCAGAAAATTATCAAGATGTAACTGAGCATCCTTTAAATAGCAAAATGGTATTAGTCTTCATGGCTATAATGCTACTACAATACTACATTCATACTGGTATGTGGCAATTAAGGGATATCAGTAATTGCTACTACAATACTACATTCATACTGGTATGTGGCAATTAAGGGATATCAGTAAATGCTACTACAATACTACATTCATACTGGTATGTGGCAATTAAGGGATATCAGTAAATGCTACTAGAATACTACATTCATACTGGTATGTGGCGATTAAGGGATATCAGTAAATGCTACTACAATACTACATTCATACTGGTATGTGGCAATTAAGGGATATCAGTAAATGCTACTACAATACTACATTCATACTGGTATGTGGCAATTAAGGGATATCAGTAAATGCTACGGTACTACAATACTACATTCATACTGGTATGTGGCATTAAGGGATATCAGTAATTGCTACTACAATACTACATTCATACTGGTATGTGGCAATTAAGGGATATCAGTAAATGCTACTACAATACTACATTCATACTGGTATGTGGCAATTAAGGGATATCAGTAATTGCTTATGCATTTTGATGTAGCAAGTCCTGGTGAGAAAATTCAGATAATCTGTGTAACTATCACAATTGTAACAATTTCTTGTTTTAAAACAGGGGTCCTACTGTCTAATATACTAGTATGGGGTACAGGAAGCAAATATGGGGTTACCACCAACCCTGTGGAAAATCAAAGACAAAAAGAATATTAACCACACTTAACCTAATTTAAGTGGTCATAATAAGATACAAGTTAAACCTGAGTACCAACATCAAACTTTGTCAGTTAAATTATATCAATTTGGTTAAAAATTAATAAAAAATACATAAAGTTCATTTTGGTATGTGGCAATGGCTATGTGTGGATTGACTTGAGACAAAGTGAATATATTAGACTTGTACAAATTAAAGCAATTTGTTCATGCCTAGGACTTGACTCTTCTACCGATACGAACACTTGATTATGAAAATAGGGAAATTTAAACTCAATAATGATATAAAACTTTCAATAAATGTTTGATGATATTTGAGAACTCAAATTCAGTTAATAAACATTCACAAGACAGGATGAATAAATGTTATCAGCTATTTTTGAAGTGCATGTCGAAAACAAATGTACAAATATATCAAGCCAATGACATGTATTAGTGCATAGTGATGCCATAAGTGTGAGACTCACCAAAGATAGACAATGACATGTATTAGTGCATAGTGATGCCATAAGTGTAAGACTCACCAAAGATAGACAATGACATGTATTAGTGCATAGTGATGCCATAAGTGTGAGACTCACCAAAGATAGACAATGACATGTATTAGTGCATAGTGATGCCATAAGTGTGAGACTCACCAAAGATAGACAATGACATGTATTAGTGCATAGTGATGCCATAAGTGTGAGACTCGCCAAAGATAGACAATGACATGTATTAGTGCATAGTGATGCCATAAGTGTAAGACTCACCAAAGATAGACAATGACATGTATTAGTGCATAGTGATGCCATAAGTGTGAGACTCACCAAAGATAGACAATGACATGTATTAGTGCATAGTGATGCCATAAGTGTGAGACTCACCAAAGATAGACAATGACATGTATTAGTGCATAGTGATGCCATAAGTGTGAGACTCACCAAAGATAGACAATGACATGTATTAGTGCATAGTGATGCCATAAGAGTGAGACTCACCAAAGATAGACACCTAGATCATCGACATGACTTGTTGCTATAAAATCAGCTGTTGGTGACATGGTTACACTGGTAGGAGGCGGATCGACCAGAAAGACATCAATCAATCTAGGTAAACACAAGCATACTTATTTTATTGCTTGAATACAGACACAGATTAAGCACACTTATTTTATTGCTTGAATACAGACACAGATTAACAAAACATGAATGGGTAGAGTCAGACAGACATGGTAAACTCAAAAACTCCTTTTTCACATGGAAGTCAATTAAACATTAACAATTTGTAAACCTGAATTCAAACCCAGATGTTACAATTCTGCTGTCAGTACACATCTGCAATAGTCATCCTGGTAAATCATGTCCTACATTACCATATGGCTGTTATAACCCACCAACAAAATCACCAAGTCAGAAAATGGATTTCAATATTTTTTTTTTTTTTCATTTTTGACCTGTATAAACATGTTCCAAAACATACATTTGATTCCTAGTTTCTATGTGTGGATGACATAGACATTATTGAAGGTGATGATACCTCTACATTTATTGATCGCATCCATACTAACCTGCCAGAGGGTAAATGCCAAGTTCGAACAGCAGAATCCATCGACGTTGTTAGTAACCAACGACCATCAGGACTAAAACACTAAAAGAAAAAAATTGCCTCACAGTCTCAAACATGTACTCAACGTATTCATAGGATGAAATCAGTTGAATCAAATCTTAACCAACAAAACAAGCAAATGAACAAACTAATACAATTGTCAGAGAAAACCCAAGATATGTTCAAGAAATCTACTCAGTCGAAATCACACGACAGCTCCAGTGAATTAAAAGAAGACATAAAAATACTTGGGAATAAAATCAATCTACGAGACACCAATATCCTAAACATGAAAGAAATTATACAACACACCCAAGCCAAGACTGATGAAGTTATTAAACTGTCTAGTGAATATAAAGTACATCTCAAGAAATCAGAAAAAGACAAAGAAAGAGTACAAGAGGAACTATTATTAGCAGAAACGAAGATAAACGAATTAACTAAAGAAAATGAGAATCTTGAAGCTAAAATAAAAGAAGCAGAGGACAATAAACAACAATCTTGGAACAACCATAATCCACCACCACTAGTTTCAACAAATCCCTTCACTCCACTAATAAATGAAACTAATAATGAGGAGTCAAATCTAGTCAATAACACCATAACTACTCAAGCAAGTAACACAAATCAGTGGAGATCACCAAAGATAAA